GCGGGGGGGGGGGGAGAGCTTATTAAGTAGAACTGTAGAAGGAGAGAATATTAAATAGGCTGGAGGGATGATTGAACGGAAGGGTTTAAGGAAAAATGGTTCTCTAATGAGGAGAGGTAGAAACCAGATCTGACTGGGGTTAAAGAAATGCAGGAAACCACTTTGTTTTAAAAAAGCAGAAAATCAAGAGAGAAATCGGATGGGAAAGGTGGGTGGGAGTATGCTAGGATTAAAGCAGGTAGTCACCTCAGAGTACGTCTGTCTTCTACTTCTCATCACTGGATAGTGCTAGCATGAAAATGGTAGTACATGCTACCTTCTGGAACAATGCAAATAATTTTTGTCATATAATAGAATATGCTTATTCTTCTACCTATCTGATCTGTGTTTTGCTCAAATGAAGAGAATTGGAAGATGGTTGGAATTTCTGCAGTTTAACCAGAGCCATTTCTGATTCCCAGAATATGAACGAATTGGGAATTGGATAATACTGGAGATACTGATATATGTTTCTTCTACATATTTTCCAATTCTTCATATCACTGTTATTCTATTTTGATATCCAAATTGCTCACCTATGTTTAATTTGCACAATGTCCCCAAGGTCTTCCCTTGCATTTCGGCAACTTGTGGACACTTCTTTCATCCTAAATGCGTCTCAGAGTTACTTTATCCGGGTGATAAATGTCGAGCCTTAGAGCTGCAGAAGGAAATCGTAGCTGGAGAATCCTTTACTTGCCCTGCTCATAAATGTTCCGTCTGCAAGCAAGGGGAGGATAAAAAGGAATATGAGTTGCAATTTGCAATTTGTAGACGCTGTCCAAGGGCATATCACCGCAGATGCTTACCAAGGTTTCCTTGATCCTATTGTCTTGATTTTGAGTGCTTTGATTAAATAATACTTGAGGACAGAAGTATTGGGCATCTCATGTTTTGTGTTTTCTTGTTGACTTTTCTAAGATGTATTTCTTTTGAGCCCTCCCATTATGACAAAAACATCCAGAAAAGGGCTTGGAATGATCTTTTGCCCAGACGTATCTTGATATACTGTATGTAAGTTTCATCTGCAACTTCAGGAATCATGAACCATTCATGTACTTAATATCTGTTCAAAGAATTACCAAAACCTACCTCTGCCCAGGGACCACAAGATCATTCCTAAAATTGGGACTCCAAAAAGGGACCATATCGTGTTTCCACATATTGATGGGAAAGCAAACTCACAATCCTCAGGACTTCCATCAGGACCTGTGAGGATGCTCTCACGAAGGAGTAAGGTTCTTGGTGCTCTCACTGAAACAAGCTTCCTGCACATAAAAAGGCCTTTTGAGGCGGGGCACAATGCTACTGAAGTTGGTGATTCTTATGGAAAAGGTGCTACATGGCTTATACAAGCTCTTGTTCTGTAATTGGTCAAAGCTATCAAGTATATTAAAGATTTACATCTATGTCAGGAAAACAATTGAAGCCTCCAACACAGGAAAGAGGCAAATCGAAGGTGCCACTAAAGTTGGTCTGTGCCCGACAAAGTACTTTTAGTGGCAAGACGGTGAATGTCTGTCCAGTTATGCCTGTGATGAAGAAGACCAGCATTACACAGCAATTGGCTGATAATGAAATGAAAAAGAGGTACTCAATGGACTTCATCATGTTCTTAAAGTTGAATCATCCTTCCGTTTTCCATCCAAGATATAACTTTTAATGGATGTTAAATGCATTTGGTTAACCTATTTACTTTGCATTTGATACTTGGTTTGCAGAATGATGACTTTGATAAAAAACTCCACCTCTTCGTTTAATGTGGAGGAATTTGTGAATGATCAGTACCGGAAATGTATAGATAGTAACTCTCAAAAAAATTTCACAGACAAGGCCATTACCTTGGGAAAAGTTCAGTGTTCCGTAAAGGTACATCTACTGGTTCAGCATTGAAGAGAATGTAATCAGTTTTTCTTCTTATTTCTTCTGCAGTTTCCTCTTATATAAAACATTCCTCTTTATTTTCTGGACCAGGCTATTCAAGTAGCGTTGAAGAAACTAGACGAAGGATGCAGCATTGAAGATGCCAAAGCTGTCTGCGAGCCAGAAATTCTTAGTCAGATTTTCAGATGGAAGGTTGCTCCACTGGACCTAAAATGTTCTTACCTATAAACACAGGCTTTATATAGCTACATTCTTGCTCCTGACTTGATGTGTTATTTTGTGATTAAATTTTTGACGAGTTTCTTGCTCCACAAATTTACGCTATGTTGTGCAGTAAGTTCCCTTGTTGGGTGATACATAGGGAGTGCATGTCATGTCCAACAATTCTGAAAAAAAGAGGAGTGTCGAACATCGGGAGTGCATGTCATGTCCAACAATTCTGAAAGAAAGAGGAGTGTCAATATGACAAACAACAACATACCTAGTGTAGTCCCACAAAGTGGGGTCTGGGGAGGGTAGGGTGTACACATGCTTTACCTCTACCTCAGAGGTGAGGTAGAGAGGCTGTTTCTAATAGCCCTCGACTCAAGACAAAAACAATGTAGAAAAAGACGTAATGAAAGTACAAGACAATTGAAAATAACAAAAACAAGAGATAGTAGTAGAACAATACTACAACAATAATCCTACAATCGAACTACAAGAAACAACAAATAGTAACATAAGTGGAAGAACACGAAACTACAAGAATAGTACTACGACAGGAGTGTCGATATGACATATCATATATACTTGGAACAGAAAGAAAGGATAAAGAAAGAACTTTTAGGGTTTAAATCAGCCCTGGAAAAGCTTAACAAGGCCTAGTTCTCTTTGGAAATGTTAGCCCATGAAAAATACTTGACAAAAAACCATTTTCAAGAAAGAGAGTTGGTTCATATTAGTCACATCTTTTGGTTGGAGCTAAATGAACTATATCAATAGAAATGTAGTACCTCTGTTACTTCTTTTTAACCAACAGCTGAGATTTTTATCTTGCTTGGATGGTGGTGATCTAGTTGTAGGAGTATATTGGATTATTGAACTTACTACTTGCACCAACAGAATTCTAATGCACTTCTACAAGTTTCCACATGTGATTAGCAAGATGCTGTCATAGCTACGGGTTAACCGTCTCCATGATAACGTAAGTTATTTTGTGCAAGAATATAATAACTCCCTTTGATGGTCTAGCTGTTACCTAGTCCAAAAATTAAACCAAAAATCTGCCTCAGCTGCTGGAAGTTCCTGCATCAATGCATGCTTGGAGCCCGATTCCTTTATTAGCTCGTGGAATAGAATCACTAGCTCTTCTTTCATATGCACCTTTTAGATCTCTCTAGATCGTTTCTTGCTAAAGACTAGGCAAATAATTCATGCACTTGAAGGTAGTCTCTAAACTTGCATGCATTGCATCACAACAAGTTGTATATCACAACAATTAAGTTTTTTAGTTCCACCGAATGTTGTTAATTATTTTCAAGAGTTCAATCTTATTGGTGTGAGAAGAAGAAGCTATTGTATGTCAGTATTTGGAGAATCGGCACCATAAGCTTTGTATTAGTATGGAAATGTTAATTTGTTTTTCTTTTTCTTTTTCGGGAAATGTTTATTTCGTTCAGCTTGATGTTCTCAATATCTCGCGTCATCTTACATAATACAATATGCTAGATATATATCTCAGTGTTAATAACCTATTCCTACACAAAGATATGGTTATCCTTTCTGTACTGGAGACTGTTATTTCTACCTTGAATAGTTGGTAAATACAGCTAAAAAAAATTCTTTGGCAGTGTTGACTGATTGCAAGAAGATTTTTTTACTGGAGGGTGTAATTGGTGATTCCTTTTGCGTCTATTGCTTTACCTATCGAATATGACCATGATATGAAAATCTAGACACATACCTTCTCAATTATGGATACTGGAAGTTCCTGCAGTTTATGGATCTTTGTTTTCTACTCAACATTTCAATCTCTGTCAAATGACTTGCCAATCATTTCTATTTTATTTTTTTTGTAAATGGTAATGGTGTATTCTTCAGCATTAAGGAGATGCTGGTGACCTGCAAACAGAGGGGAACAAAAGAAGAGAAAAAAAATAAATACTTACAAGGGTCCTAATAATTCTACAATCTGTTCTGTATTCTCTAAACCTTTCTCTTTACACCAAAAATAAAAGGATCCAATACAATCCCATCTAACCTTCTCAATGGAATTGGACCTATCTTCAAAATTTCTACTATTTCTTTCTTTCCATACTGTCCACCAAATGCAATGTGGAATTATCCTCCACCATGCCTTTTGACTCTTGCTCCCCCCTCTTCTTATCCAACAACTCAACAAATCTGCAGTATGCTCGGGCATGGTCCAGTTTGTTTTTGTGAGACTAAGGAAGATGGCCCAAATTTGTGTTGTAAAGTTGCAATGCAAGAATAGATGCTGGTTGGTCTCTGCTGCGTTCCCGCATAATGAACACCAAGATACTATAATCTTTCCTTTTCTCCTCAGCACTTCATGTGTCAGGCAAGCCCTTCTAGCAACCAACCATGTAAAGCATTTTATTTTAGTTGGTGCTAAGGTTCTCCATCTTTCTCCACAAACTCTGCTTAGAGTTGCGTTGCTGTGGACTTTCCATTTTGTATGCTCTGCTAACCGTGAAAGCCCCATCTTTACTATGTTTCCATCTCAAAGAATCAGGAGCATTGGTGATGCCAGGGAATTTTTCTAATAGCTCTAGCAATTTGGCCACTCTCTCCACTTCCCAGTCATTCAAAAACCTTCTGAAGATTAGATCCCACCCTTGTGCTGTCCAACATTCATTGATATTTGCATCAGGATTACTACATAGTAAGAACAGATCAGGAAAGGATTCTTTTAGAGGAATCTGTTTGTTCCACGCATCTGTCCAAAACTTAGTTCTCCTGCCATTTCCCACTTCAATGTACGTATTAGCTTCAAGTTTTTGCCATAAGTTTCTGATAGTTCTCCAGAACCCCACCCCATAGGCATCAACACTAACATTACTGCACCAAGGATTGTACTCACCATACTTGGATCTGATGACATCCTTCCATAAAGCTTGCCCTCTTCATTATACCTCCATAACCACTTCATCAAAAGACTATTGTTTTGTTTCCTTAGATCTCTAATACCCATACCTCCTTTGTCTTTGCTTTTCAAGGTTATCTCCCATTTGACTAGGTTATAACCTTTAATTTCTTTGCATCCATGCCAAAGGAAGTCCCTCCTTAATTTGTCCAGCTTCTTCAGAACTTTGGGGGGTAATGGAAATAGTGACATGACATAAGTAGGAAGGGAGTCTAGCACTGAATTGATGAGAGTGTGTCTGCCTCCCATAGACAAATATTGAGCCTTCCATCTTGCTAATCTCCTTTCTGTTTTCTCCACAATGCCATCCCAAATATGTATGCTCTTGTGCTCATTTCCCAAAGGCATACCTAAGTTAACTGTTGGCATATTCTCCACTTTGCACCCCAAAATATCTGCCAGATTCTAAAATGTTTGTCACCTCCTTGATTGGAAATAAATTGCTTTTCCCCCAATTCACTTCAAACCTGAGGAAGCTTCAAAAAACAGTAAGATTGTTTTTAAGAATCTTATTTGGTCCTCCCGAGGTTCACAAAAAATGATTGTGTCATCTGCATATAGCAAATGACCAATCATTTCTATTATTAAGCTGTATTTGAGCCTTCAATGGTTGTTTTTGATTGACTATCTGATGAATGAGTTGCAAATATTCATTTCTTCTTGTATGTTACAGAAGAAGCTTGGATCTTATCTTGCCCCCTTTCTTAATGGGATGCGCTATACATCTTTTGGTCGCCACTTCACGAAGGTGGACAAACTGAAGGAGGTATGTCCTGTTTTTGCATTTTATTATTAGATCTTGTATCTTGATGGATATGTTGTTGTATCTTGTATCTCAATGGGAGTGATAATATAGCTGCATCTCACTAGTAAACCCTGTCTTACATCTTCAGAGTTTTTCTAATCGATGCAACCTTAAAACAAACTCAACAAAGCCGGTATACTAGTCAACCCTGTCTTCCATCGTCATAGCTTTTCTATTCGATCCAAGGCTAAAACGTACCCCAGAAACATTACATGAGGAAACACATTAATATCCTGTAATTTTGTATGCATGCTTTCAGTTTTCTAACAAGGTTCGCCCAAAAAAAAATAAAAACAAGGTTTACCAGAAGTGCTTCCTGAAAGTAAATAGAGCTGTATAGTTTCTGAATATAATGTAGAAGTTGCAATAACAAATTTCAAACTCTCTCTCATTTGGCTAAGCCTAAATAAAAGTCAAGATAATCATTCAGAATATTGTAATAGAATATTATTGATGATTATGTCTTTGTTGAAAGTCAAGAGAGCTATTAAGCTAGTGTTTGGTCATAGATTCCCAAATATTTTTGGCCAGTCATTTTTGGGTGAAGTTTCACCATGTGTTTGACCATAGTTTTTGGGGAAAATATTTGACTTAAAGAAATATGATTTATATCCATAAGTTTTAAAAACTATTAAAAATACTCATAAGTTTGTATTATCATTTTATGATGAACATATTCTGTGATAAAATTTAAACTCATAAATTATAAGCTCCAACCTGCTTATAAAAAATATTTCCAATTTTTATATTTACATTACTTTTAACAAGTTCTATGGAACAATACCATTACATACTTGAGAGTCAGATAGCAACAAACACATCATAAACATAAATACAATACATAAGTTGAGTGAGTGCCTTCATGGTGCGTTTCTCAAGCTTGTCAAGTTGGGATTAATAAATGTTGGGGTGTTGTTATAAAATATAAAAGTTTGGGGTAAATTTTAATTTTTTAAAAGTTCCAAAAAACTAGAACTTGGCCTGAAAACTAGTTTTTTTTTTTACATAGTTTTTGGGAATTTGTTTTTTTGCCAAAAATTGACATGTTATATGGCCAAACTCTTTTTGCCAAGTTTTATTTCCAAAAACTACTTCTACTCTTTATGGATAAATGGATCCTAAGTATGGCTTTGCATAATCTTTGAGTTGAAGTTGGAAAATGGTCCGTGGAAGTCATGTTTGGACATGAACTTGGATGGCAAGTTGAAGATTTGAAAAGTTTCGTTTGAAATGCTCATTCAGACTGCTATTTCAATATTTCACTTGAAGTTCAAATAATATTTTGCTTGAATTTCAAATAATTTTTCACTAGAAACCCAATATTTCATGGCCAACCATTATTTGCAAATATTTTTCAATACGTAAACTGTTGACATAATTATTTGATGGACAAGCAAGCCATTAAGAATGTTGTGTGGAATATCTAATGATTATGTCATGATAATTAGGAATCTTTTTGTATGTAAGGGCTTGTATTAGTTATGCTGAGATTATTTCTTATGCAGTGTGTGGTTTGGTATATTAAAAATAACATGCATTGTATAGTTTCTAAAAAAATATTTATTTACAAAAATACCCTCCTCAAATATGGGGAAAGGATGTGGAAAAGGTTTTGAGGGGCATTTGTGTTTTTAATCATGGCATGCATTAAAACCCTCTGCATTACTAATACAATGGATTTCCATATTAGTTATACATACCTTTAATATCAATTAGAGTGAATTATTTTGAAAATGGTAACGTTGTATTATATCACAAAAGTACATGGGTTGTACTCAAACCTTATATACAAATGCACTCTAGACACTCCTACTCTATTTCTATATTGAGTCTAAAACATCAACTATAGAGGCAGTGTCATTTGAGTATAATTGATTACACCAAAAACATAACAACAAAATGCAGTTTAGTTTAACATCCTGCACACTATTTTCTATGCCTTCAAAACATCTGGAATTCCTTTCTTTCCAGATTGTCCACCATATTGAAGCAGTGATAATTCTCCATCTAGTTCTGTCTTTTGCAAGGGCACTTGCCTCCTCCCAGATGTACAAGGCCTCAGTAACTCTCCTAGGCATAGTCCAGGATATGCCGTTAAGGCTCAAAAAATCCTCCAAAGCTGCTAAGTGTATTTGCAGTGTAGAAATAGATGGTTTACAGTTTCCAAGGTTTCCCCACATAGGAAACACCTAGAGCATAAGGTTATCCCCCTTTTCATTACATTATCCTGAGTCAGGGCAGCTTCCTTAGCTAGCAGCCAAATAAAGCATGAGACTTTGTGTGGGATTCTACGCTTCCATATTTGTTTCCAAGGCCAGATGGGACTCTGTTGGCTTGATTGATCCATCAGCCTGTAAGCTGAATGCACTTTGAACTCTCCTCTATTGTTGCCTTTCCACCAAAGCATATCCTCATATGCCTGAAGTCTAGTAAAGTGTCCAACCATGTTGAGGAATTCTGCCACCCTCATCACTTCCTAGTCATTTGGTTCTCTCCTGAAGATGAAATTCCACCCTTATGGTGTCCATAGTTCTGCAATAGTTCTTTGTTGGAACATTGCCAGATTGTAAATATCAGGGAAAAGAGTTTCCAGGTTACCTTTCTCATGCCATTCATCCTTCCAGAATTTGATCTTGTTCCCATTCCCCACTTTCATCTTGAATTTGGGTTTAACTTCCTCCCATAAGGCTCTTATGGATCTCCATAAACTGGTCCCATAAGGTGTGGTCACAATCTTAGTCATCCAACTATCTTCATTCTCATATTTGGCACCTATCACTCTTCTCCTAAGTGTTTGGTTTTCATTTTGAGTATTTCCACAACCACTTCATAAAGAGTGCTTTGCCATGTAGCTCCATATTCTTTATTCCCAGACCACCATTCTTCTTTCCAGTTGTCACTGCATTCCATTTAACTAGATGAAAGCCTCTATTCTCTTTGTTTCCTTGCCACAAGAACTTCCAATTAGAGTGTATTACTAATGCATACATAGGTGAAAAAGTGTACCAAACAAGGTATTAGTAATACACAAAGCTAATGCATGCGTTATTTTTTCTAAATGCACTCTACCAAATGACCTATAAAGAAAAGAGAAAGAAGAGATATTGGGGAATGAATAGCTTAATTATTCCCTCAAGCAAGTTGGGACTTTTGTAATGGTTACAAGTAATCCAAAAATGGAAATGAGAATAATTCCTATTCCTAATTTACACTATTACAAGGATTGTAAATCATTTCCAATACAAGGAATGATCACTTAGCTTGTTTACTTTGTTCCAAACATTAATGTTCATAACTCCCTCTCAAGTTGGAATTATAAAACGGTGTTGTCAAAAGCTCGCTCAAGCCCAGAAGTGAGGCTCAAAACATGTTGAGTGCTTCGCCTCACCTCACCTCACTAAGGATGTTGTTCAGTGTCGTCTTTAAGGTTTTAAGACAAATTTCCCTTGCGAACGAGCATCTCCTGAAGAGGCTACACTAAGCAATTGTTATTTCACTTTATCGTAATTTTTTTAAAATTTCTTTGTCCATATATTTGTTATTCATTGCTTATATTTGTTAGTCTTGGACTAAACATATACTCCATAAATTTGAGTGTATTTTTCTTTCTATTTTCGCCTTTTCTCATTAAAGCCCACACTTTATTTGCTCTTTGCACTTAAAGCCCCAACAGGCCTTAGAGCTTTTATGTACTTCTGATAACATTGGTATAAAATGTACATTAACATTCTTAGTACTCCCTTTCTAGTTGGGATGTATACAATGTATGCTCCTAACTTGATACACATTTGCTCAATACTACGGCTGCAAATTGGTTTTGTAAGAATATACGCCACAAACTGATCATTCAAGTTGATGAAACATGTCATAATGCAAATACTTGTTTGACCATCAGTATTTGAATATACTGAATTTTGGTGTTCAAATTACTGGTATAGTATTTAAATACTCTAGTTTAAGGAGTAGTTAAAGTGAAATAATGGTTTCCATTTACAAATATTCGACTTTCACATACTTTGTGAGATAAAGTTCATTTCCAAACACAACTGCAACTTCCAAATACTCCTTTTCAACTTCAACCAAATTTTCCCAAATGCCTACGTTATATTTTAATATATAACCTACTTGTATTTTGCACTTGCAGCACATGACATTATATTCTATCCCACTATTTTTTTGTTGCCCGTAGTTATAAATTGTATCAGACTTATTATGTGTTTTTATGCAAATTAGAGACTGAATCATTGTGCAGGTAGTTGACAGACTAAGATGGTATGTGCAGGATGGTGACACGGTAAAAAGTCCTTATGAGTTTGCTTCTTTATTTCCTTGTAGTTGTCTCTCTTCTTGTATTAACATCATAACCTGCCCATCTTTTCTTTTATTCTCTTGCTTCTTTATTTCCTTGTACTTGTCTCTCTTCTTGTATTAACATCAAAACCTGCCTATTTTTTCTTTTTTACTTTTGATGTGGAGGGTGTACCTTGTATTTTGTTGACTTAAAAGGTGATTTCTGAATTTCCAAAAAATTTCAGTCTGCCTAATTTTTGTTAAATTCAGATTACAAATTCAGTTAAACAGATTCTTTTACTCCTTCAATTTTGTCATTGATAAGTTTTTTCTCAGAACCTTTGATATTTTCAGTTAAACATCTCTTGTCATGCACTTGTTTGCTTTGTTTTTTTTGTTTCTTCTTCTTCCTTCTCTTCCAAGGGTCTATCAGAAAAAACAGCCTCTCTACCCCCACAAAGGTAGGGGTAAGGTTTGTTTATACCACGCCCTCCCCACACCCCACTTGTGGGACTATACTAGGTATGTTGTTGTTCTTCCTTCTCTTTTCTTGTTCAAAGGATTGCAGCTTTACATACTTCCTTGAATCCTGATGCGTTTCTTGTTCAGATAGTCGATTTCTGCTGTGGATCCAATGATTTTAGCTGCTTGATGAAAGAAGAACTAGACAGAATGGGGAAAACATGTCAATTCAGAAATTTTGATCTTGTACAAACAAAGGTAAATTATTATCATATCAGCTACCTTCATTTTGATCATCTGAATTACAGGTGAACCAGATTCCTGCTGGGAATTCTGTTTTTTTTTTTTTTTTTTGGGTAAAACACAGTAAATTAGAGTTTTCCCTAATTTTTCCTCTTTCAGCAACTGTTCTTGTGTGATTGTTGTTGGATCAGTCATTCAGTAGGGGCCCTTCATGTTAAACTAGCTAGTTTTTTTTGCTCTAGTCAAACACTACCTTAAGATTTGTTCATTAGCCAAATGTTACAACGTAGCACTCTATAACCAACATGTGGTATATTATTACGCAAATAAAACGTGATGGGTTGTAACTAGAATGATGAAAGAGAATGAATTTACAGGGGACCCGGGTTCTGGTGGGGAATCTTTTTTTTTTTTTTTTTTTGGGTAAAACACAGTAAATTAGAGTTTTCCCTAATTTTTCCTCTTTCAGCAACTGTTCTTGTGTGATTGTTGTTGGATCAGTCATTCAGTAGGGGCCCTTCATGTTAAACTAGCTAGTTTTTTTTGCTCTAGTCAAACACTACCTTAAGATTTGTTCATTAGCCAAATGTTACAACGTAGCACTCTATAACCAACATGTGGTATATTATTACGCAAATAAAACGTGATGGGTTGTAACTAGAATGATGAAAGAGAATGAAATATGTAGTATGGTCTTTTCTTTATCATTGGTAATTCAGGGATGAGTTATTCTTTTAGGGCATGGTGAAGTTTCTACGTGTGTGAATACTATTTAGCTTCAGTCTGTGTTGTCAGACACAACATAGGTTGAGCAGAGAGATCCTCCAATTTCACTTGGAAAATGCCTCATAGACACGAGAGGTCACCAATATAGTAAACAATTTCTACTTCTTGACAACAGACCATCCTTGACAATTAGGTTCTTCGCCACTTATAATGCTCCATCAAGTGAGAAGATTTGCTTGTTAAGAACATTGCTTTAAAATCTGACTGAACTTGCCACATCTAACCTAGTCAACTCAACTTCGTTAAATAGTTTTGACTCTTGAAAAAGACTATGATCAGTCATGATTAAAGCTCAATCTACTCACCAGGATATAGGGAGTATTTAGTTTATTGAGCCAACTCAAAAGCACATTACTATTTAGTACAAGTTATTCACGACATCTGAGATGCTAGAGAGTCAGTAGTTTCATATAGTTATGAAAGTATTACCATACATATTCCTTTTATGAAAGCATTATGAGCAAGGTTTAAATTTTTAACTAATCAGATCATCAATTTTTCTCAACTCACTGAGTAATACAGTTCAGTCTTTAGGTTTCTGTCTTTAGACTGTTGTTTAACTAAATAATCTGTGTGCTTTGATGCTTCACAATAACACACATCTGATTGGTTTCTGGAGATTGATATAGATATTACTCTTTTTATTTATTTTATTTTATTCTGATTTTATAACTATTGGTTGAACTAATAGGGCATTATGAACCATCATTCTATAAATTACAGAAAAACAGGTTGTCTTGGATGTTTTTTGATAGATTGAACGGTAGAGGGAAGGGAAGGGATAGAGTTAATGCATTTGTACACCTATGTTAGTCTCCTCTTGTGTACTTCCTACGCAAACTACGAATATGAAACCTTCCTCCCACTTTTGCTCTATTTCCTTCAAGTCCACACTGCCCCTATAAGATCGTTTGCTTTGTATTCATTAACTTAGTGCCTTGTCTAATTGTGTTTTATAAGTTAATGAATAACTTCTTGAGATTTCACAACTTTCCAGAATGATTTCAACTTTGAGAAGAGGGATTGGATGACTGTTGGTTTAAGAGACTTGCCAGAAGGATCCAAATTGGTATGTTGGAACCCCACGGCTTTGAATAACTTGACATTCTTTTGAATAATCCATCTTATCTTGTGCCTTGAGTAGATCATGGGGTTTAATCCCCCTTTCTCCACGGCAAATGAATTTATAAGCAAAGCTCTCACATTCAGACCGAAGCTTTTAATTATTACTGTTCCGAAAGAAACAAAAAGGTGAAGATTTATATTATGAAAGCAGCATGTTAAGTTATTTTCTGCTTACCGCTTGATTTATCAATCTTGTGCCATTGCAGACTTGATAAAAGAAAGAATCCTTATGATTTAATTTGGGAAGATGACGTTATCTTGGCTGGCAAGGTGCAAAATTTTGAAAACCTAAGATTTTTATTGCCTCATTTTTCTCTTACAAATGATATGACTCAGTTTTTTTTGTTATGCCAGTCCTTTTACCTGCCAGGATCAATTAATGTGCATAACCAGCAGATGGAGCAATGGAACATCGTGTCCCCTCCATTGTATCTGTGGAGTCGCCCAGATTGGACTGCTAAGCACAAAGCAGTAGCTATGCAGCACGGGCATATTAGAAAGTCTGAAGCAGAAGGAAACATAGTAAATACAGGGATCACAAATTACTTGATGCAAGAAACGCATGATTGCTATGGTGACTTTTCCGACATCCTGACCAGCTGTGGTGACATTAGTAGCTTGCTGGATGATATTCCTGAGATTTCTATTGATGCCGAATATAATCAAAATCAACATTTTGGAGTTCCTGAGCAGGATATGTGCTACGAAGGTAAGGATGAAAATGAAACGTCACCAGCTGAGGATATGTGCATTGACATGGATCTGTCAACTCCAACGAATTCCCCACTTCACTGAAAGATCAAGTATAGGCCTTCGTCATGCCTGTGGCTAATTTCCTCGAGCATGTCTCAACTTTTGGTAGTGTCGCTTGAAATTTTCATTTTTAATGACAAGGTTACTGTATAGTAGAATATCCACAGATAATATTACAAGTAGATTTGGTAATCTACTTGCTCTGCAGACTTCCAAAAACTGAAACCATAATATATGTTGCAGAGTGAAGATTCCAGGGCAACATGCATGGTCCCTTTTTGGAGCTAAATCTTATGAGATAGTGGATGGTTAAGCCTAAAATGAAAAATTAATATGGAGAGCAGACCACGGTGCTATCCAATAGCGTCTCACAAGAATATCATAATTAATTTGAATACTAACATATATGATCCATCCATGATTTATCAAAAATTTAAGTGAGCCTAATTTTATTTGAAATTTGTTAAAATTCTAATAATTATAGTCCCTTGTATGAGTTTTAAGTAATATTCAATATTTTTTGAAAATAACTATAATTTATTATTTTTTTATAAAAAATATGCTCAAATTTAGAAGCATAAGTAACTAGAGTTGTTCATGGTTATGGTTAAAAAATCAAATCGAACTGCAATTCGAATCATACCAATTAAAAAAATTGATGTTTGGTTTGGTTTTAAATTTTGAAAATCGATATTATTTGGTTTGATTTTGGTTTTACTAAAAACAACCGCAAAAATAACCAAACCGAATTGATAAATTAGACATATAAATTTTATAATTATTCATATATTATTCATAAATAAAATATAAATATTTGGTAAATTTTAATTAACTTAAGTCTTTAACTTTACCATTTTCTCAAGCACAACACTTAAACTTTAGTCCAACTATTACAATCCTAAGTCCAAGTCCATCAAAATCCATTACTTTAGTCTTTACCTACCTGACCTCACATAATATCCTCACATAATATAGTCATACTTTCTCTTAATTGAATCACTTTGTTCGCGTAATAATAACTCTAGTATTGCTTAATTGTACCGACATTAGCTTTCATGTGGATTGTTCATGTACTAGGTATCTCTGTCTATCGAGATATGTATGTCCTAAAAAAGTTTATTACTTTTAAACCCAAAAAAATCAGAAAAATTAAACCAAACCGAATCAAACTGACAATAACCAAATCGACGGTTATTTTTTTCGTTTTGATTTTAGAAATTTAAAAAACCGATTAGATTGGTTTGATTTTGATTTTAACCAATAACCGATCCAAATCGAACCATGAACACCTTTTAATTTTGTTATTTAGAACATATATATCCCTTGTCATGAAAGTGATTTATATACCCTATTGTACACAAATTACTTATATATACCATTTTCCTCTAACAGAAGTAAGAAAAATTATTTTAAATTAGCTTTTAATTTTATTTTTTGAAAAAAATAAGATAATCGATGTAGGGGTATATTTGATCATTCTCACGCGTTTTTTTCTTTTGAAAATTTTTATTCGTCAACTAATTTAAATTTATTATTTTGATGGTCAAATTTATTTTTTTCACTTATTTTCTTGTAAAATTTATTATAGATGCTCCAATTTTTTTTTACAGATATAAAAACTAAATTGCAATATAGCCACAAAAAATATATTTTTTAACTTTTAATCTTTTTTCGTTCACGCTTATTTCTTTTTATTTTTCATATTTTTACACTAAAGAATGTAAAAAAGGAATAAGAAACTCAAATAATAATAATAATCAAAGAAGTCAAAAAATAATTTATGTAAAAAAATCAAATACATGATTTGTTTTAAAAAAATATTTAAAAATAAATCAACTTTTTTTTTCCTTTTTGTATCAATAAGGGTATATGTGAGCCACTTTTGTAACGATTAGGTGGTGGACCCACCCTTATCCAAGGAGATGTTGCCACTAGAAAATTATGTTCTATATAGAGCTCAAATTTTGGTTTAATAAATATATATATACAAGTATTGACTCCTTTTAACACAAGTTAAAAGTTTAGTCTAGTAATTAAAATGTTGTGAAAAATCTTTGAGGTCATGTGTTTCAAGTTTTTTTTATTACAATCATTGACACTCAAGTCTTACTAGCCTCATAATTATGTTTCTAATTACAATCGTTGACACTCTTTAATGACAAATCTGAATCTGCTATGTGACGAAGTTTTTCTTATTACAATCATTGGCACTCGTTAATGACAAATTTAAATCCGCCATATAAAAGTTAAAGATATATCAGTTCCGTTTTCCTTTTTTTTAAAGAATGTAAAGCCGCCCCTGCAAGTATGTCATCGTCAACCCTCCTCTTGTATTTTTGTTCTTGATTCGTTATGTAACAAATTCCATAAAGCAGGAAATGAAAATGTGACTTTAATTAAATAGAGTTTATTTGAATTGAATCTAGTCAGTCTTTTGTCGAGGATGCCTAAATGTCAAACTTTTTATTGTTTATGATTACCGGTAAATCAAGTTAGATAATTATTTAATTTTTTAAATAAACATTAATATTAATCAAATAAGATTATAACTTATAGTCTTATATGGTATGATAAATCAGCAACTAGTTGGAGTCTTAGCCAAATAAATTTGACTCTTTATTTTCACAAGTGTATTTATATTTAAAATTTGCAATCAAATATTTAATAATTTTTCAACATATTTATAAAATTAATTTTTTTTAAATTAATCTGCCAGTGTCTATTTCAATCATTTATTAGTCTTATTGGTCCATAGTCAACAAAAGTGGACAGAAAGCTCAAATTTTTAAACCTTTTACATCTTTTGAATGATGATTAGCTCACAATATTTTTTATATACTAAACATTTACCAAACCCAACTCATACAATCTTGTTTAGATATTTTAAAGTAATTTACTAACTCAATTTGCAGAATAAATTATAATAATGCACATATAGACAAGGGGGCACATGTCAATATTAAAGTAACATCTCAATTATTCATTTTTGTTTAAGCTAAAGGAGAGTTTTGAAGCATCAGGTTCTAAAAAATGGAACAAAAGGCCTTAGAAATAGGGAGTGAAGAGACTGAAAAGGAAAAAATAGGGAATAAATGGTGTGTCGAAGCAAAGAAGGTGTGGCATATAGCAGGACCAGCTATCTTAAATGCAGTTTCTTTGTTTTCTCTTGAGGTTGTGACAGCTGCCTTTGCTGGAAGATTGGGAGATTTAGAGCTTGCTGCTGTCTCTGAAGTTCATAATGTTATAGCAGGATTTGTCTATGGAGTCATGGTATGCTATTATATATTCCCTGCTTTTATTGATTTTGAAAAGACGGAGTCAGGATTTGAAGTTCTAAATTAATCCATTTTCCAACTATTTATCTGACCCCCCTATCTTTAGCGGTTCCAAATTCCTTATCTTTATCGTTCACTCAATAATGATAATTAATCCGAGTATGTCTTCTAATGAGTACGGACTCATTCGCTCACAAAAAAGGGGATGAACTCCACCGTTGTGTATTGGTACTTATCGAGTATAGAATAAGATTAATAACATAGTTTGAATCAAAGTTACTGAGTTGAGCTGACACTTTAGCTCCGTCTTTGAGTATGATCCTTTAGTGAGTTCTGAAAGAGTATGATTTTATTATACGTACACATTTTAGATGACCTCTGGTTAATAAGTAATCTAAGTATAACATGATTGGGATCTTAAATATCTTTTTTTTGTTTACCTTGTTAATTCTTGGGTATTAGTTAGGGATGGCAAGTGCTTTGGCAACACTTTGTGGTCAAGCAGTGGGAGCTGGACAGTTCAATATGCTTGGAGTTTACTTGCAAAGATCATGGATCATTACTGGAGTTGCATCTTTGTTGCTCACACCAGTTTTTGTCTTCACATCGCCGATACTAAAGCTCCTACGTCAAGATAAAGACATCTCTCATCTTGCAGGGAAATACGCGATTTGGATAATTCCTCAAATGTTTGCATATGCCCTCAACTTTCCTATGCAAAAGTTTCTTCAATCTCAGAGCAAAGTTTGGTTTATGGCCATCATATCCATGGGAGGATTGGCAATTCATGTATTGCTAAATTGGATTCTTGTGGTAAAGGGAGGGCATGGCCTTTTCGGTGCTGCAATTGCTGGAAATATCTCTTGGTGGCTTTTGGACATTGCTCAGCTTATTTACATAATTTCGGGCTATTTTCCAGAGGCGTGGACTGGTTTTTCATGCCTGGCTTTCAAATCATTGACTAAATTCGTTAAGCTATCACTTGCCTCTGCGGTAATGGTATGGTAAGTAGAGACTGGAAGCTTGGTAATTAGTACTTACTATCTCTTGAAATGTTTCAACTCGTACCATTTTTGTGATGAGAGACATTGACTGGTGGCAGTTTAGAGCTTTGGTACTTCACAGCTGTGATTCTAATGGTAGGAGGCTTGAAAAATGCTACAGTTGCTGTTGATGCCATATCGATCTGGTTAGTATCATGTTGCTCCATCTACTTTCTTGGATTTAACTTATATACATCGTCCGTGTAATGAAATTTTGATATGACCACCCTTTTGTTGTCTCACAAACTTGATTTTTGATCTTCTCCTTTTTGAGTTCTTTCACAATAAACTTTCTTTTGAATTCTTTCACTACAAATCCTTACATGTTAACCAACTGGTCTGGATATGACAGCCTCGGATTGCAACTGTGGACACTGACGGTTGCCTTTGGTTTCACTTCATCAACCAGGTTAGCTGTTTCCGTGCAAGACAAAATCGAATGAGAACTAGTAGGAGTTATAGTTAGCAAACTTAGATGATAACAATTTTATGTTTCTGATCAAGTATATGTCACCTATTGGTTGTAAATCTGCCCTCCCTGAGATTTTTATGGCATTGCAGTGTGAGAGTTTCAAATGAATTAGGAGCTGGAAATGCAAAAGCAGCAAAATTTACCATTTCAGTCAATGTTTTGACATCAGCAGTGATTGGCCTTATATTCTCAGCTACAATATTAGCTACCAGAAAAGAGTTTCCAAGACTATTCACAAATGAGCAGCATGTCATAAAGGAGACATCAAAGTTGGGCTATATTCTTGCAGCTATCATCTTCCTTAATGGCATCCAACCTGTTCTACTTGGTATTTCTATCTAATTTCTACTCATTGACATATTCTCGAGGTACATAGATATGCAAATTTCTCACGAATCCAGGCTGAACATAGCTGCAATTCACAAATAAAATGAAGTTCAGGACAATATAGATGCCAAAAAGGTCATTCAAGCAAGTTATAGTGACGTTTTCCTGTTACCAAACGCCCTAACATTTGATAGTACGCAAAACCTATGGACACAACTTATTGAAACATATCATAAACCTATGATCGAATGAGTTCTTGCAAGTTTTCATAAGCTTATGATTAGCGCGCTATAACTATTTTTTATCAAATTGCAAAATGCAGGAGTGGCAGTTGGTGCAGGATGGCAGCTTCAAGTGGCCTTAATTAGCATTGGATGTTATTATGGTTTTGGACTGCCATTGGGTGCATTGCTTGGTTACAAGTTCAAATTTGGAGTTGAAGGCATACTTTCAGCTATGCTTGCTGGCAGCTTTCTTCAGACACTCTTCCAGTTTCTTATCATTGCACGAACCAGTTGGCACAAACAGGTAATTCTAACCAGTCAATTTGTGAACACCTCGAAAATTCCACTAGGTATCTCTTCCAACCAAGGATTAGACATATGGTATAAATCACATAATGTTAGCTATAACACTTGTCAAATGATAAGGCAAGTCAAGAGATTGAAGCATTAGGCATAAATTTGGTAGATATTGTTAGATTGAACCTCACTACCCAATACAACAAGGATTATGATATTGATGTATAGGATTCCGAGGAAGTAATAATTCATGGAAATCCTTACACAAATAACTGGCCGGATTCACTGTTTACTCTTCCAAACCGATATACATAAATTATATGCTTGTTATACACATATTATACATGAATTACACATATCATTAGACATTCGCATGTTATTATTAGTTTCTCAAACTATTGCAGGCTCTTCAAGCAGAGGAGAGAGTGAGAACCTGGGGTGGTGAAGTGGAGAACCAATCAACCTCCTAATATAAGCAAGTCCAATTCAATCCATTCTTAATTCAATTCAATGAGAAAATCAAACAAGCAAAAGTTCATCCTATTTTTGAAACAAGGCCCAGTGTACAATATTGAAGAAGGCATGATATGATGTCTTTGGGCAAGCTCACTCCAATTATTTGTTTTCTTCTCCTATTATTAAAAATTCTACATTTGTATATTCATAATTTAATACACATATTATATCAGTCTTTTTTTACAGTATGTATGTATTAGTGGAGATATACTACCATCAAGTAGCTCATCCCGAATATAGTGGTAATCTACTTCAATATGTTTGGTCTGTTCATGAAAGACCGGATTTTGAGCAATATACAATGTCTCTTGACTGTTACCATAAACACTGATCGAATACTTCAAAACACCTAAATCTTTCTTGTAGAAACACTTGAGAAAAATAGTCTTTGAACCGTGTAATAGTACCATGCTCATTTCCAGAAAAATCAAGTCATCCACATAGACAAGAACATTAATTTGCACATTTGTCCCTTGCAAGGTAAAAATATAATAATTTGAGTATGATTATTTAAATTCATACATCTTCAGAGCAGTTGACAATTTAGCAAATCAACAATGTGGAGTATGTTTCAACCAATACAAAGATTTACGGAGTTAAAACACCATCTGTGATCTGTCACGCCCCAAAGCTTGGTAGTTCAAAACGGAAAATTTGATGCCTTAACTTGATCAAGTGGACAACTCTACATGAAAAAGATACCATGACATAATCATGAAAAATAGAGAAATCTTGAGACCTAAGATATAGCTTCATAAAGGAACTATGTTTCCAAAATATAGGATTAAACATAAGTAGTTATAAGAAGTGAGCCAAAACATACATACATACATACATGAGACGTTGACACTATGAAGTCTTTCAAAGATCCTATCATTAATAGAAGTGTCAGGATAGGGCCCTGACATACCCAAAAACACCTATATACATCACAAGATCACCTAAACATCACCCCTGATAAGATCACTTAACATCACCCAAAAACCCTAGAATTTGATTCATCCGACTAGTTAATGCTTGTAATCATTTCATTAGCTAGGTAGATTCTCCGCTAATGGAAACAACAATGTTAATTTCATCACGAACTTCGGTTTGGGTACTATGGGACATCACGGATTTCGGGCACGGTAACAAGAATTTTTTCAACAATTCTTGTATCTTTAAATTCAACGCGTAGTAATCTTACCTTGTTCACAATGTCAAGCAATCTGTCAGAGCATTCTTTGACTGTCTCAGAGTCTTTCATTCTCTGCGACTCAAATTCTCTTATTAAATTCAATACCTTCATTCTTCGAAGTTTTTCATCTCGAACATATTATTTCTTCGGACAATCCTAAATTTCTTTAGGTGATGTGAGAGACATATTCTTGTGAAAATAGTTGTTGAAACAACAACAAATAGAGTAGTTGCCTTCGCTTTAGACTTTGTGGTTTTCTTTTCCTTGTAATTCTTGATTTGAGCTATGCTGAAATTATTTGGCAGCAAATTAATTTCATAATGCTCTTACATAGCTTTCCAAAGATCAAGAGTCTCCAAGTAATAAGTTTTCATTCTCACAACCCATAACTGAGAATTTCCACCATCAAAATAGATGAAGTCATTCGTGAAACACTATTTTAAGAATTCATCTCTTCACTCACAGGTCCCTCAAGAAAAATGGCTCTGATACCAATTGTTGGTTTAAAAAGAGAATAAATTGCACAAAAGAATAAAAATAAAGAAAGCTTATGAATTAACGTTAAATGATTGATATTATTTCACTGCAGTCTAGAAATACAATTTGTAATAAAACTAATAACTTCTAAACCTAAAATTAAGCAAAAAGATCTGTTGAAGATACTAAACTCCTAAAGTCAATAAAATACTATTTATCAAAAAATCAAATAGAATTCAAATCATAATTAAAAGACTGTTGTAAATTAGTGGATGTCATGTGGAGTTACTTCATAATATATTTTCACTTCATCCTCAGTTTTGCTAGTGGCTTTACCCACATTACACCATCTATCAGGTGTGTTCTTGACTTCTTGTCAAAAATGGTCACTACATTCTAAAACTTTATGTTTTGCTCCCTGGTCCATGTTGAATTTACAAAATTGCACAAACTAAAAAATGTTGTAAAATTGTGGATGCCATGTGGAGTTAGCATGGTAGAAATGTTTCACTCATGCCAAAGTGTGGTTAACTTGGCAAGCCACACTTTGCCACATGCCCTTGGCCTATAAATAGGCATCAAATTTATATAACAAAAACACACAGCAATTTCACTCTCTCGTTGTTTATGTTCAAATACTCTCTCTTTGTTTATGTTCAAATACTCTCTCTATTGTTCTTCCTTTTTACTTTAGTTTTGTTAAGTCAAATATTTTATAACACGTTATCAGCACGAAATCTCTTATAAGGTATGTTTCGGTGATATAACTATTTTTATTTTCATATCCTAAGCACAAGTATACATTAGAATATTTTCAGTTTATATGTTCTCTAAATAATATAAGATGGTAGTAAATTTTATTAATTAATAAAAATAAAATTTCTTATTAAAGAATACTACATATGATATTCTTAACTTTCAATGGTTAAAAGTTTATTATTTTAATCTAATTTGACTATTTTTATGATAGTTTTTCATCATGTCAATTTTGTCAAAATTGGAGTTCGTGGCACTTGATATTTCTAGCAAAAATTATTTATCATGGGTACTCGATGCTGAAATTCACCTAGATGCTAAAGGTCTTGGTACCACCATTACTGAAGGTAATGCAACATCTAGTCAAGACAAAGTGAAGGCTATGATTTTTCTTCGTCATCATTTCGATGAAGGATTAAAGGCTGAATATTTGACAGTGAAAGATCCACTTGAATTGTGGACTGGTTTAAAAGAAAGGTATGACCACCTTAAGGCAACAGTATTGCCAAGGGATTGTTATGATTGGATACACTTACGATTACAGGACTTTAAAATTGTATGTGAATATAATTCTGTTGTTTATAATATAACTTCCCAATTAAAACTATGTGGGGAAATATAACAAATGAGGATATGTTGGAAAAAAACTCTTACTAATTTTCATGCCTCAAATTTGATGTTACAGCAACAATACCGTGAAAGGGGATTTAAAAAGTATTCTGATTTAATCTCATGCCTTCTTGTGGTTGAGCAACATAATACCCTTTTGTTGAAAAATCATGAAGTCCGTCCCATCGAAACTTCTCCTTTACCAGAAGCAAATGTGGTAGAAGCACATGGCCAGTTTGATAGAAGACAAAATAAAAATCGGGGCCATAATAATGTGTGTGGACGTAGCAATGGCAGAAAATGATATGATAATCATCGTGGTAGTGGTCATTATAAAAGAAAGAACAATATGGATTCTCAAAGTATATAGTGCTTCGAAATAAAAGCATAATACATAAACGTATATTTTAACTTAGTTTCAACTGATATTTTTGTTCTTTAATTTTGAGTGTATACAAGTAGGCATTTGAATTTGTATAAAATTGAACAAATAGACATCATATGTAGCGTTCTAAATGAAAATTTGTGTTGAACGTGTATTATGTCACGTATGACCCATATGTCTATTTTGTTCAATTTTATACAAGTTTAAATGTCTACTTTTGCACACCAAAAATTGAAGGTTATAGATGTCAGTTGAAGCCAGGTTAAAGAGTGTATTTATGTATAATGCCAAATAAAAACTACGTAAAAAATAAAATTATATGAGTATATATTTACAAATGTTTTTTAAAAAAAATCACGTTTGATTTAGAACTCAAAACATTTTAAATTCAGAATCTGCTAATTAATACTCCCTTTATTCCGTATTAACTGAATTTGTAAGGTAATACACACATATTAAGAAAAAACATTCAAGGACATAATTAAAATCATATTTTACACTATTGTCCTTTGTAAAATCATAACTTTGTAAGTAGTGTAATTTTTCTTTTAAAAAAATATAAAACATTTATAAATGAAAGGACATTTATGAAAAAAAATTCAAATATCCATCTTAAATTTTGAACAATTCAATTATTTTGACCAGTAAAAAAGGCTCCAAAGTTCCGTTAGTATGGAATATAGGAGTAATTAATACTGAGTAGAGCCTACCTTCTCAAATCCCAACATATAAATTAAAATAGCCTCATGCTTCTCCGTCTCCTACTATATATTCACTGATACTACTTAATCAACCATCGTTTCAAGTGCTCTTCCTTGTACGTCTCTCATGCATATTGACACAATTTGGTAAGCCCTTTCATCTTATTTTGGTTTTATCAAATTAAGTTTCCACAAAAGTAGAACATGTCTTTTTTTTTTTCTTTTTTTTTTGTATTAGTACTTTAGGCAATTCAATTTCCTTAATTAGTAATTTCTTCCTACCATTCCTTGCAAGATTCTCCAATTAATTTTAATTTTCTCTATATATCCTGGATCCAACAACTATTAGGTTTGGAGCATCTTGATTAATTCACTAGGTACATGACATCTTCCACCACCACGGATATTAGATTCTACCCAGGTTTAGACAGATTAAAAAAATATTTTTTTGAATCTCTTATTTGAAATTTGAGCACTGATCTTCTTTTCTAAGAGAACAAACAGAATAATGAAAAAAATTAAAGAAAACACCAACACTTGGGCTTGAACCCGGAACGCTGAGGCATCTTTGCACATCCTTAACCGCTGGGCTGTCAACCTTTATTGTGTCAAGGTCGTTTAACAGTTAGTATATATCCAAAAAACTCGATATTTAGTATATATACCCGTAAAAAAATTTCGACGAAGGTTGTTCATCTGACCACCCTTGCCATGTCATAGCTCCGCCAGGGTTTGGTACAATGTCACCGTCTTGACTTGTTTCCACGTGTCTATGTGATTCGTTTATGTATCTCGTCCTTCTTTACCATGTGTGATTCTTATCACTATCCACGTATTATGATTCAGTTGGGCCACATGTCACAATTATTTTTATCCTATACATGAATTAAAAGGTTTGACAAAAAGATTACATCATATAAAGGTTAAATTATCTTATGTGTTATGTATAATAAATGTTGAATGACAAAAAGTTATCATATAAAGGTTAAATTATCTTATATGTGTTATGTATAATAACTGTTGAATTTCTTAATTTATTGGTGTATTTATTATTTTTTTATATTTTGAATCCACTTATCGAAAACTGGGTGATAATTTGTCAGTTCAACAAGAAAGGTGTTGAGATTTGGCCAAAAGTTTGGCAATGTAATCCATTTGGAAAAACATGAAATAAAGGTTAGGCTAGAAATTGGCCTCCCAATTTACCAGAAAAGAAAAATTAATTCCTTGTTTTTTTTTTATATATGTGGTTATAATATCTTGAAAGACGACCAAAGATATTTCCAATTACAAAACAACAAAAAACGTCTGAGTCATGAGGATGACTTTTTAGGCCAAGGCAGCGAGGGGCGTATTCAGAGGGGCTGCCGTGGTTCACGTGCTCCCTTCTCCAGATCATATATAATAGTGTTATATTTTTAAAAAATATTTAAATATAAATGTGTAAATTCACGTTTAAAGTATCATATAATAATATAATAATGATTTGCACCTCTCTAAGTAATGATAAAAATTTAAGTCTTATATCTATTTTGTCCTTTTGAGTAACACCTTCCCAAGTGGTTATCGATTATACTTTTGACGTTTCAACTAATTTTTCTTTTGTTTTTTCACTTTAATCTTTCAAAAATTTCAAGTGCCTTACATTGGAAGTTCCTAAAAAAATTTGCACTATAAAATTTTTATATAATTAAATCAAATGTGTATATTAAAATTTAAAACTAATAGTATTATATATTTTGGACCTATAATTTTTAAAATTTAATGGTTCATATTAAGAACCTAAAAGTCAAACTTATCGAATTTATATTTAAGATGCATTTTTTCGTATTCGTGCACCCATCTTAGCGAATCCCTGGATACGCCTCTGAATTTTAGGCAGCCGTAACGTAATGAATGATTCATTCATGCCTCTTCCTCTCTACTATAGAGTATAGCCCGGGTAGCAAATCTAACTTTAGTGCTTCGAAATAAAAGCATATATCTTTTAACTTGGTCTCAGTTGATATCTATGTCCTTCAATTTTGAGTGCATACAAATAGACACTTGAATTTGTATAAAATTAAACAAATAGACACGTGCATCATATGTAGTGTTCTAAATGAAAATTTGTGTCCAATGTGTATTATGCCACGTAGGACGCATATGCCTATTTTGTTCAATTTTATACGAATTTAAGTGTCTACTTGTGCACACCCAAAATTAAAGGTAATAGATATCGGCTGAAGCCAGGTTAAAAGTTGTATTTATGTATAATGCCAAATAAAAAACTACGTAAAAAATAAAATTATATGAGCATATATTTATAAATGTTTTTTAAAAAAATCACGTTTGATTTAGAACTCAAAACATTTAAATTCAGAATCTGCTAATATTAACTGAATTTGTAAGGTAATGCACACATATTAAGAAAAAACATTTAAGGACATAATTAAAATCATATTTTACTCTATTGTCCTTTGTAAAATCATAACTTTGTAAATAGTGTAATTTTTCTTTTAGAAAATATAAAACATTGATAAATGAAAGGACATTTATGGAAAAAATTTCAAACATCCATCTTAAACTTTGAACAATTCAATTATTTTGACCAGTAAAAAAGGCTCCAAAATTCCGTTAGTATGGAATATAGGAGTAATTAATACTGAGTAGAGCCTACCTTCTCAAATCCCAACATATAAATTAAAATAGCCTCATGCTTATCTGTCTCCTACTATATATTCACTGATACTAATTAATCAACCATCGTTTCAAGTGCTCTTCCTTGTACGTCTCTCATGCATATTGACACAATTTGGTAAGCCCTTTCATCTTATTTTGGTTTTATCAAATTTAAGTTTCCACAAAAGTAGAACGTGTTTTTTTTTTATTTTTTATAGTAGTACTTTAGGCAATTCAATTTCCTTAATTAGTAATTTCTTCCTACCATTCCTTGCAAAAATTTCCAATTAATTTTAATTTTCTCTATATATCCAGGATCCAACAACTATTAGGTTTGGGGCATCTTGATTAATTCACTAGGTACATGACATCTTCCACCACCATGGATATTAGGTTCTACCAAGGTTTAGACAGATTAAAAGAATATTTTTTTGAATCTCTTATTTGAAATTTGAACACTGATCTCCTATAATTTTTTCTACCGCGGTAGCAGTATATGTGTTTTGGTGAATTATTTGAATTGTGTATAAGCAGAAAGCATAGATATATGTGATGGAATCCGTCCGAGCGTACTTGAATAGTCCAATGGGTCCTAAAACAACTCACTTTTGGGGTCCTATGGCCAATTGGGGATTTGTCATCTCTGTATGTACCCTTTCCTATATGCATCATCTTTTTTATGTAACATATATTGATAATCGATCGATCGATCGAGATCCATAAGCGAATCTCGATCGATCTTACTATTAAAGTTGAACAGAAAATTTCTGAAATTAATATTCACAAATGATTGTGTTAGGGAATGATGGATACAAAAAAGCCCCCAGACGCGATATCTGGCAACATGACTGCAGGTGAGTTAGCTATAACATATACTTTCTGTCTCATTTTATATGATATCTTTTGACTTGATAATCGGGTTAAAAGTAAGATTTTTTAAATTTGTGATTTAAAACAATCATTAAATATTTGTGTGGTTGTAAATTATTTTATTAAGAAAAAAAAAGGAATTTTAGAATTAAATTGTTTCTTATTATAGTAAAATGACATTCTATTTGGAACAACCTAAAAAAAAAGGTATCTTATAATTTATGAGACGAAGGGAGTATATAGTTTCTTTCCAAAGCATGGTAAATTCATTTCTGCAGGGTCACACAATGCAGAATTATATTGGCTGGGGTGGAGCTAGGTAGGGCTAAAGGGATTAGATAAACCTCCTTCAATAAAAAATTATACTCTTATTTATACTAGTATATGTATCCGCACGTTGCGCGGAAAATACTAAGTATTTATTTATAATAAGAAAATATTACTTAGAAAATTCAGTAGTCACAAAAGAGCATAATTCTTTTTTGCTTTTGTTATATTCGTATAATTTATAATCTTCTTATGATGTTATGATCGAAAAATGTATAAAATATCAAAATGCATTAATAATAAAGATCATAAATACATCTTAAATATTCAAACTAAAAGATTCAACTAATATATTAAAATTGTAATGAATAATAATAAAATATATGCCGGGAGTTGGGACAGAGCAAGGAAAAAATAAATCATCACATTATAAATGAACAATTATTAGAATATGTGGAAGAATTGTTGACATATAAAATCAACAATCGAAAAAGGGAGCATGAAGTGAAGCAGAGAATATTTCAAAGTTCCCTCCCTTGTAAAACAATAAATTTAAAATGACTTTCATTATATTCATAATTTATATATTAATTTATCCAGATTTGAAATGTTATTAAAAATTATAATTTTGATGAAACCATGATTAAAACATAAAAGTTATAAGCAGTTTGAAAAGTTACAATCAACTTCAAATTCAAAAATCTCAATAAACATGAATTATGATTAATTCAAATTCAAAAAATAAAGTAGGAGTTAATTTGGAACACATTAAAATTTGATTTGTTTTTAAAGAGTAATTTGTGTATTTATGTGTGCGCGCGCTTAGTGGTTGAATTATATTTTTTGTCATATTAGGAAAAAAACACTAAGAAATATATTTCAATTTAAAGATAAATAGATCAATTTAACCCATATATGAAATAACTGACCTTGTAATTGTAATAAAGAATTAGTTGCTAATTTGCTATAAAATAGAGTTAAAAAATATGTGATTTAATTGTTTTAGTGATATCCTTATTTTTAAGTTTGTAAGGTTTTATTTTTCACTTGTAATTTTTTTTTTTTTGGATTTTCGATTTACAAATTAAAATACTTTAAATTACGGTACTTTTAAAAGAAAAAGAAAATTCAAAATGAAAATAACTATGAGTAGAAAAGTATGCCACAAATATTGGCTTGTTTTTTTAAAAAAAATTAAACACTACTTTCAGTTACGTTTATATATTTTTTTCAGGTTCTTTGTAAAACATTTTCAATATAAAATTCTGATAACTTCCAAAATAAAATAAAAGAATGAAAAAAAGTTCTAAACATACATTGATAAAACTACGATTTATATTTAATTCTTCGTATTACATTCTGTTAGTAGAAATTTATAAACAATTTAAGATGAAACAATTATCACAGTAATAGTAATACTTTATGTAACAAAAATATTGAAAGGAGACCTACATTCACCACTGTCACAAAATTCTTCAAAATTCCTCCATTTCTTTATTGTTTAGCTACTTCCTATAAAATATTTTTACTATTCAAAATTAACTTATCGATATATCAATGTAAGTTGTAAGTTAAAAATATGCAATTTTAACTTATTGTTTCACTATTATTATTATTTTAAACATAAGAAATATGAAGTTAAAAAATAAAATAATAAGCATCCCACGAAAATTCTCATAAAAATTCAATTTTATTGCCTCCTTTTATGTAACTATATTCTCATAAAAATACGCCTAAAATTTACTCTTTTTTTTTTTTTTTAATTTTAATCAAATATACAATATTTACATTGCACAATTTCAGATTCTTACTAAACTGCATCTTTACTATTGAAAATAATATATAATACATTTCGAATATAGAATTCAGCAAACTTAAAAAAAAATTCTTAAGAAAAAAACTGTAGATGATTAAAATTATTTTCAAACTTCTCTAACTCTATTCAAACATATTTTTTGAATACAATACTTTCAAACTTCTCATAAGTTTCTTTTTCTAGTGAACTGTCATTTTAAATTAGTGATAACATTTATCCTAAAAAAATAGGAAAAAAAATGAAAAAAAATGTTGAATTAAATTTCACTATTTGGTATTAAAGATATTTCTTAAATATAAAAGAAAGAAGTATGATCTTTACAAACTTTACCACCAATTACAATCTGCAAACTTTCCTACCAATTACAATCTGCAATCATCTGATACAAAGTTAATGCATCAATACTTTTTCTATAAAAGGAGCAACTAATTTTTGACAATTGAATTTTTTTTTAGTATTTTTGATGAACAAACTTTCTATTTTATAGATCAAATTAAAATCCTGTCATATAAATAACTATAAATACAATTACCTTCGTTGGATGATACCTTTGATTATGGCCTAGTGTTGCAGACAAATTATCAACATTTTTTTATTTGTGGTGCATGAAAAGGACGTTATCTGGAAATGGGGCAATATAGTTATAGGGGATGTGGGAGAAGTTGGTGGGTGGTTACATAAGTTATTTAAAATTTTAAAAATTATCATATAAATGACAGTTATTTTATCTTTATCAACAATAATTTTTAAATTATTAAGATATTTAAAAGGATAATACTTGATAGTTCCATAAAATTAGGCTCTGAAAGTAAATTTTAGGTGAACGTATGAGTTTTTTATTTTTATTTTTAAAATTTTTGAAGTTCAAATTTTTTGGTTTACATTCATGTTTTGAAATTTAATTTAAATATTTCAGTTTTTATTTTTATTTTTTTAATTGGAATTATATTTTTATTTTTATTTTTAGCAATATGTTTTTAATTAAAAAAATCGAAATTTTATGGTAATATCTTTACAAAACACTGTTTTTTTTAAAACTGTTTTAAATTGCTATTTTGTTTTAAAATGGAATTTATTATTTAAATTAACTAAAGACAATTAAGTTATTGAATTTGAATTTATTATTTAAAATAACTAAAAATAATAAAATTCAAGAATAATTGTGGTGCTGACACGTGTCCTTTTTTCCCTCTCCTTTTATATATAGATAGATTTTTTTAGCAATATGCTTTTAATTTACAAAAATCGAAATTTTATGGTAATATCTTTACAAAAAACTGTTTTTCTTAAAACTGTTTTAAATTGCTATTTTGTTTTTAAATGGAATTTATTATTTAAATTAACTAAAGACAATTAAGGTATTGAATTTGAATTTATTATTTATTATTTAAAATAACTAAAAATAATAAAATTCAAGAATAATTGTGGTGCTGACACGTGTCATTTTTCCCCTCTCCTTTTATATATAGATAGATAATTGTGGTGCTGACACGTGTCATTTTTTCCCTATCCTCTTATATTTATATATAGATAGATATGGTTAAAAATATGTTCTTTCTATATTAATTTCGTTATATATTGAATCCCCTAAGTGCAAATTCAGGTTTCACCCCTAGAAAATGTCAGAATACAAACTTTGAGCCATCTTTTTAACTATAGTAAATTCAATTGTGACAAGTAAATATGAACGGAATAGAAAGAGTATTAAAATATCTATAGAATATATATTGTTGATGCACGTCACTTGATAAGCTATATATATAATATTAATGTGTGTTTGGTTGCAGTGTTGTGTATATATTCGATGTTGTGTATGAGATTTGCATGGATGGTGAGGCCTAGAAATCATATGCTGCTAGCTTGCCATGCTGCTAATGAATCTGTCCAACTCTACCAACTTTCTCGTTGGCTACGCTATAGGTTTCATTACTCACTTAGACAAATAAATCATTTTTACATCATTTTGGTAATCATGAAAACATAATAATTTTTTGTTTTGTTATCATTTTTAGGAACCTCCAACCAAAGGAAGAGGCAGTGGCTTCTGATTAGTGCGGAAGGATAATCTTGTACTAGTACTAGATAAATGTGCTCGTGCTAGCACGGGCTCAATATATATCATTTTTTAATTATAATTTATGTGACATAAAAAGAATTTGAAGAGACAATCAAATTTTTAATATGATTTTTAGATATTTTAAGTTGTTAATTATTGAGATTTATGGTACTTTACGTAATTTAAATAACTCTCTCTCTATCTGGCACCACTCTGATAGAATTCAAGAGTCAACTTAGTTTTTATATGTCTTCTAAAATTTTAAGTTGTTAATTATTATGATTTATAATACTTTTTATGTCATTTTCAAATAATATATATTATATATTTTATCTCAATTTATGTGGCAGTGATAAAATTTTGAGGAACAATCAAATTATTTATGATTTTTAAATATTTTAAGTTGTTAATTATTGTGATTTATAATTTTTTTTACATTATTTTAGAATAATGAATTTATGTTGTACTTATAAAATTTCAAGAATCATTTCAAAAAACTTATGCCTTTTGAATTTTTAAGATGTTTGTTATTATGATCTACATTATTGTGATCTGATTTCGAGAGTAAAATTTTTTTATGTCTTTTAAATATTTTAAGTTACTAATCATTATAATTTGTAGCACTTTGTACTTAATAATATAACCAATAGAAATCTAATCTCCTTTTTCAAGACAATTGTTAGAAGACCACGTGGTTGTCAAAGGGAAAAAAAAGGTGAAAGAAGGAAGTAACACAAAAGTTATGTGAGATATGATGGACAATATAGTCATAACGACTCTAAAAAGAAAGTATACCATTGTTCGCAATAAATTTCCTTAAGCGTTGAAAATTGATTGCAAGTAAAATAAATAAAAGAAAATGTTATTTTTATTGATGAATTGTTGTAAGTACAATTCTGTTGTTCTCTTGATTCTACTCTCTTAAGTTTCTCCGTGATTTGAGATTTGTCAGTAGCGTAGTTCTCAAATGCAGGATGATGTAGACCTCCTTGAGATGTGTTTGATCTCCAGGAACGTCAGGAAGCAGTTTGTCGTTTCAAGTCGATCTCCGGGAAGAACTCCGTTGACCACTCATTCGAAGAGCTATGTAGTTGGTGTTGTAGCTTTCTCCAATCCTTGCAGAATGTTTGTTGAAGAATTTTCTTGATGCCCCAAGAATGTTATGTTCATCCCTTATTTATAGTTGTAGGGGATGGACAAGGTTGCATATGATTGGCCAAAGGATGTCATTTTGACATTTGGCATGCTGTGATTGGTTCTTGCACTTGATTGGGACTACCACCTCATTTGGACACGTGGCGCTGCCTTATTGGTCTTGGATGCCTAGTCATTGTGACATGTGGGATGAGTTTTGGACTTCAAGATGAAATGGACCTTGGATTTGAATTTAATAAGATGGACTTATTTATTTGTAAAGCCCAAATTAGTCATTCAGCCCAAATGAACATGGATTTAATTCAAATTTCGTCTGAATTTAATCCAATACAATTTATGTGTCTACAAATGCCCCTTACTTCGAGACTTGTCGACGTGTAGGCTTGCCGAAGTTTGGCGACAAGACTTGAAGTATTCATGAATGTGTCTTTCATTTTTTGAGACTTGTCAACGTGTAGGCTTGCCGAATTTGACGACAAGAGTTGAAGTCTTCATAAATGTGTTTTCCTTTTTTGAGACTTGGCAACGTGTAGGTTTGCCGAATTTGACGACAAGAGTTGAAGTCTTCATGAATGTGTTTTCATTTTTTGAGACTTCTCTACGTGTAGGCTTGCCGAATTTGACGACGAGAGTTGAAGTCTTCGTGAATCCAACAATATCACTCTTAAGACATTTGCTTGACTTCGTTTCTTGCGATGAAACAAGTTGCATGGTAAGGTCATGTCCAACTCCATTTCGATGTGCTCCTAAGGACTTTTGTTATTTCAATCCACTCGAGGGACGATATGGAGGACTCTCGAGAGAGAGAGGGGGATAAGCAAATCAATGTGACAAAGTTGTATGAATTTTAAATTCAAAAAAAAAAAAAACATTCACCATAGATTTGAATACAAATTTGGACACCAACACTTAGAGTGTCACACAAGTCCTCAAAGTTGAATTTTAAATGAAAGAACATAACTTGATTTGCTTTTTTTTTTATTATTTGCAAACCTTCAACTTGGAAACAATTGGTAATATAATAATCACACCAAATTTTCTTTCCTTTGCTTGATTTTGTAAGAATCGTTCTTGACATCTCAAGACCTATTGCTTTCCTTTTGAGTACTAGCAACTTCCATTTAGATGGGTAAGAATTGATATGATCTCCTTCTTTCAATTTTACTAAAGCTTTTCTTGTACAAGAAATGAAAATTGTTCAAAGAAACTTCTATATAAGAATCTCCCATGTACAAAGGATTGATCAGAAAATCATTGGAAAAAAAAACTGCTAACCAAATCAATGGGGAACTCCAAATTTGGTGTGTTCTTTTCTCAATTTCGTGCAGTTCCACCAAAATCTCGTTCTCTTAGTGTAGAAATGTCCAAATGACGAGCGGCTTGGTTTGGAAGAAACAAGATTTTTAGTACTGCAACATATCCAAAATTCAACGTTAAACACCTTTTGTATTGGCGGTGTTATATTCTAGGTGTTTTGATGATTCTCACAAATGCAGGGACCTGGTCCTTGGAAGAGTACCTCCGTCCAGATTCAAAGTGGTGCACAGTTGTAAAGCTATCTTTCCATCTGTCTTGTCAGGTTGGTTGGTGATATGTGTAGAGGGTGGACGGAGTTGTTTGTTTAAGTGGTCAAAACCCGTGTTGGTAACTGATATATACAACAATAAACAAACAACATTATTCATTCAAGAAGAGAGAAGCAAGTCTTTTTCAAGAACTCAAGCAGCAAAGAACGCAACAAGGGACCTGGTCCCGGAAAGTCTGCGTACGAGAAAAGGAAGAAAAGACAGCTGTCAAAAAGCTGCCAACTCTGATGTGGTTGGTGCACAACTTTTCATGACACCAGGCTCTCAGCCAATAGCCTCGTCCCAAGGGTTTGTGTCAACTTTGATATAATCTCTTCTCCAAAACACAAACTCAAGATTTGGCAAACAAAGTTGTGAATTTCTGAAAATTCATAAGCTCAAAAGAAAAGGCCATCTTCAAGGAAGAACAATACTCATACTCAACAAAGGAACCTTATAGAGTGCTGAAGCATCCTTGTTGAGTTTGAGTTTTGTGTCTATCATTTTATAAGTTTTTGCATCTTGAAAATTCTCAAGTATACAAGCAAAGACCATCTTGGTGAAGTATTCTCCGACAAGCGCAACAAGGACCTGATCAAGTTGCAAGCGTCATAGTGTGTCTTAGGAGTTATACTTTTGTGCTTACATTGTAAATCTGTTCCTATTCTATAAATGATTCAGTTATTTTATTTCAATTTCTAAAAGTCTAATTCAGTTAAGGTTGACTGATTTAGTGGGCTATGTTGTATCTGCTTAGTCAAATTCTAAATCATCTAGAGTTAGGTGGTTTAGTGGGCGGTGTGGTATCCGCTTAGCAAAGTCTAAGTTATCTAGGGGTGATAGCTTAGTGGGAAGTGTGGTATCTACTTAGGCTCAGTAAGTAATAGGATTATTACTTAGTTGTGAGATTAATAACTTCTTCTTACTTTGGTTGTAACTGAGTTTCATTTTTGCTTGAAGAGATTAGTGGAAATAGTTGAAAATCCTGTGTGATAGGTCGTGGTTTTACTCCCTTGAGCAAGGAGGTTTCCACGTAAACTGCTTGTGTTAATTTCCTTCATTGTTCATTATTCATTACTATTCTTGCTGAGTCTAGGGACCTGGTCCGTTGACTGATAGTGGACGCACATATTTTGTCAATTGGTATCAGAGCGGGTGCTCTCTAGCTAGTTAACACCAAGAAAGAGAATCCTACATAAAGATAGTTGCTCCACTGAACCTGGAAGAAGGAAAATCGTCAACAAGACCATATCACTTCAATGGCCAGTTCTATAGCTGGTGGAAAACTAGGATGCACGACTTCTTGATGGCGGAAGACAGTGAGCTATGGGATATCGTGTGTTTGATGGACCTTTTATCCCAACTACTGAAGTGAAATATGGAGAAATTATCATAGTCGTTCCCAAAACTCGTCAACAATACAACGAGGCGAAGAAAAAAAGATTGAGAAAAACTACAAAGCAAAGAAACTACTGGTGTGTGGTATAGGCGCTGAAGGGTACAATCGGGTTTCGACATGTGAGTCTGCAAAAGAAATCTGGAATTGTCTCAAGACGGCCCATGAGGGCACAGAGCAGGTGAAGGAATCAAAGGTGGACATGTTGGCCACCTAATATGAGAACTTCATAATGAAGGAGGGAGAAACTATTCATGACATGTTTACTAGATTCTCCTCAATAACCAACGAGCTACGCTACTTGGGAGAGCCTATCCATCCTAGTAAATAGGTAAGGAAGATTCTTCGAATTCTTCCTAAGTCATGGGAAAGCGAAGTATATGACATCACTGAAGCAAAGGACCTGAAGGTTCTTACAATTGATGCTCTCATTGGTAACCTTCAGACTCATGAAATGAATAGAAACCAAGACACTGCAAAGAAGGAGGTAAATAAAGATAAGTCTCTAGCTCTTAAGATCTCATCAGGTGAAATCTCTAGTGAAGAGGAGGATATGGCTTATCTCACCAAGAGATTCCAAAAAAATGTGAGAAAGCATGAAGGTTTTTGAAAGGGAGGGAACGCTCTTGGGGCTGCAAATTCAAGTGACTTATGTCACAAGTGTGGAAAGGCTGGACACTTCATGAGAGATTGTCCGATGCTCAAGGCTGAAACCAAAGGGTATCAAAGATTTGGAGGTGAAAAAGATAGCAGAAGGGACCTGGTACCCGAGAAGAAAGTAAGAAAAGTTGCAGCTGACTATGTTGTGAAGAAAGCTTTGGCTGTCTGAGGGGATTCCTCAAGTGAGTCAGAAGAATCAGAATGTCCCGAAGATGCATCCATGCTAGCTGTTAAAGACGATGATAATGTGTTTGATGGCATGTTCGCATACATGGCTAAATCTGATGACGAAGAAGATGAAGAAAAGGTAACTCTCCTTGACATTAAACAAAACTTGAATGCTTATTCTGTTAGAA